TCGTGCGCCTCCTATTGGTTGATTTGGAATCCGGGTTTTTGGTCAATTCCCCTAAGTGAACTATCAGTGGTCTACCAAATCGGTTATAGGCTCGGATTTCGGCTTTTCGTCCTGTCACTTTGGTGGGAAACATCTCCTCCACGAGAAAGCAGTCAGTAGGGCTTCCTCAGCAGAGGCGATTTGAGACGCTTGGCCGCGTATGGGAGGTGCAAAAGAGGGGTGATAAGCCGCAACCCTAGACATTCACCCCCGACCATACTGAGGCTTTCTAACAATATAGACTAGTTTTTGAAACACTGGATTCTCTTTATCCATCGCATCCAGACTGAAAGAAGACATATGTCGCGGGATGATGTGAACATTTCGGTTAATCTTCTCAATCGCTGACGTAAAACAAACAAGCACATTTATAGCCAAATGGATTTGTAAACCCAAGTCAACGGACATGTACAGATAGACAGGGGCTGTGAGAATTAGAAACAATAGATCAAANTTTTGACGCACAGAACGGGATGATGTAATCAGCTTAGTAATGCCTTACATATTACCAACACTTTTGCATTGCAGTTACGTAATAACGGTTTGAAAAAGGAACTGGGATCAATCATGTGTTTGGTTGTCACGGGGTGTTTTTGCAACTGATAACCCTTGGGATTATGTGTGACCGCCTGATTACTCTGTGTGTAGTTGATCCGTTGTTTTTATTTCTCATAGCCCCTGTCTATCTGTACATGTTCGTTGACTTGAGTTTACAAATCCATTTGGCTATAAATATGCTTGTTTGTTTAACGTCAGCCATTGAGAAGATTATACGAAATGTTAATATCATCTCGCGATGTATGCGTCTTGATTCTTTTGAGGCGATAGGCTAGTATATTATATTTTATTCCCCACTTTTCGACCTCTTAAGGGTTTTTTTTTATTCATACGGTTGTTTTGTACTACGTACAAATAAGAAAATAGTTTTGCGTCTCGCTTGTCACCTCCCACCCCCACGTTGTAACTCTCCGTCTCGCACCGTTCTCATCGAGTTAGCCGACAAGAGCAACAGGCTAACCATCTATGGACAGTCATACATGCTAGATAGACGTTGCAATTCCTCTGTCCCTGAATGTAATCAATCTTGTGAAATCAGTTATTCAATATTCACACAATACGATACACCTGCTCTCGTCATTTGGCATTCCCTTTTCGTCCATAGCATGAACCCGAGTTCTAGTTGTTGGACAAATGTAAAACTTTCAACACCGTGGCTTGTCTATGCATCTCACTTCACTCCCACCCACCCTTTTCCACCACATATCGAGTGTGATTTGATTGGTTTATGTTGAAGCAAACCACGGATTGTCAGCGAAAGGTAATCCCATGAGAGTAAGGAAGGATATGATTCAATGATATGATGGAGTTCGTCACGTACATAGAGTAATCAAAGCGTGCACGAGAAAGTGCCGTTTTGCAGTTGTTTCAGTTTGATTGGCTCTCATCAGCCGTGTAAAATTATCCATTTAACGGACGACTGAATCCAGGGCCTCACCGGTAGGCTTTATGATTTCATCTTCTTGTCAGACATAATGATTTCATCTATCTGTTCTCTCCGCTGTTATGTTCGAGTGTGATTGCGATTGAATGTTCTAACCGCGGCTCGTTCGTACGGAAGTGAACATTTGAACAGAACCCTAGCGGATTAGACAAGGATAATTATCCGATACATCAACCCCCATGTGTGCGTGTGTGTGCGTGTGTGTGTGTGTGCGTGTGTGTGCGTGTGTGTGTGTGTGTGCGTGTGCGTGTGTGTGCGTGTGTGTGTGAGAGAGAGAGTTTAGGAGAGTGAATGAATTCTAAATTATTCACTGAAAACACCTGATGTGTAAGAGGACAGGAAGTAGTCAGTAACGATCTGAGGATTCACTATTTCCATATGATGATTAGGGGAAATATAGAAATTTATAATCCTGGCAATAGGGAACAATGAATTATGTGACGATCACAGCGTGAGATGTTGACAAACGATCCCCCCCCCCCAAAAAAAAACAGCAGGACGAGGAATATTGATTGTTTTGGGGCTAGACTGTGAAGCCAAATTTCTTGTTTGCCAATGAATGCTACATTCACAATGCCTTCCTTTGTTTTCGGATGAACAATGATGATTGTTGCATCTATATCGTGACTTCATTTTGCTTCCGGTATCGTTCAAATTGATCAGCAATGATTATTCGAACACTTCCGGTGCGGCGGTTTCCAGGCCATTTGGGAGATATGCACGCTAGTTAGCTTTTCCTCGTAATAGTTCAACTGGTCAATGAATAACTGAATACAGTTGTATAATGAAAGTGTGTTTAAAATCAGCAATAGAGTTCAGTTATTTAGTGTAAAAAGATTTTGTCCAACAGCGAATACCAGCGAAAGCATTCACTGATCTGGGTCCGTTTTCCATTGAATCATTAGATGGGTGGAACTGTCTAAAATTTATCTGGATGATACATAACATATCCAAACAATAGGGTGGGTAAGTTCACCTGATACAGTTGTATTTGAAGTCATGTTGTGCAATTATAATCCAAAATCGTTCGCATTTTTTGTAGCAATAACGTCCGAAAAACACCTCCTCCCCACAACCACCACCACTCGCGACTGGAACAACATAATTGACTCATTGTTTCTGTCCCTCGGTGCTAGTCAAACCCGAACCCCTGCATCCCTTGTTTACATTCTCTTGAACCATCAAGCAGGCATTATGTTCATTCTTATGTGTACTTCAGTGTCTGTTCTGATTGGTAGATAGATCAACATGTTTCTTGCATAAGCGACCGAGTAAAGTGACTGAGTGGATTAGAACTGCTTTGCTCGACGATTTCCAATCGTCGCCTCAAATACTGATCAACCCACTATTGCATCTGTTTCATAAACCCTCAGTTTGTGGGCCAATCATCCTGGCTACTGCTGCTGCTGCTGCTGCTACTCTTAGTGCCGTTTGACTGTAGTGTTCACTACAGTTCAAAATTCACAACACCAGCCGCGTAAAATTCAAGTGGTCTGGTGTTTAATCCCTCAACATCTGAATAACCAGCTCTTTAGAGTAATGTACAATTACACTTTCAATTTGTTTTCGACGTATACGCGAGCAATATCTTGATTTCAGTGTTTTTGCATATCCGTCTCAATGTGGGATCAAAAATGTGGTGCAATGTGAGGTGGTAGTACCACGGAAAACCTTTAGAACAAACCTTAAATAGATCATAAATTTTACATGCAAAATTCCTTTTGTATTATACAAGTACTTAAAATGGGACAATGTAACTACCCACCGAAGCCTGTAAGTGCTTGAAAGATAAACTTGCTTTTGGAACACGATCATACGAATTGGCATTTTGTACCGAATAGCCAAAGGGTTGTGGTATTGGATGTGTCTAACATCTATCTAACGTATTTGGTGAACTAAATTATAATTGTTGTTAGGCATATTTGAAGTTTGTGTGACGATAGTGAAAAGTTCCGTAGCCTCGGTGAGATTCGAACCCAAGCATGGAAACTGTCTACGCTTTGTACGCGCACTCTCTACTAGCTGTGCTACGAGGCCACATCGATGGTGGCCTCCGTGCACGGGTTCGAATCCAACCGAGGCTACTCAATTTTTCACAATTGTCATACAATAAATTATAAGCCGTCTATGCATAAGGGATCATCCAACTCGGGCAAGATAAGTAACGATCAGTCACAATGAATGAATGAATGATTTTGGAATCATACTTCAGTCTTTAGTATCCCACGTGTATATCGATGGCTATGGATGTGAAGAACATTTATTCCTAATTTTATCTCCTACAGTTCTCTTATGGCACAGTTTAAATTTATGCGACCTTGAGTGTCGTGAAAAAAAAACATTGTTTATTTTTCCTTCCTATGTATGCATTTTCTGAATGTGTCAAGTCCAGTGTCGAATTCATTCATTCAATTACCACTCAGCTGTTGGGATTTGAATGTAACCGAAAATGCTTTTCCGTGTTAAAAAAACGGAGATAAATTAGCTACATTGGAGGTGATCATCACTGGTCAGGATGTGGCATATATTAGAGGAAATGAGCAAAAGCGGTTTGTCAGTGCTCAAAATAAAATAAATACCTGCCTATGAGTCATTTAAAAAGATAATTTCTAATGATGCTTTTCATTGATGCACCAGGAATCATTGTCGAAATCGAGAAATTGTACATATGAATGGTATTCGACCGATGGAAGACGAAATATAAAATTGGATTTTATTACGGGGTCTGATGTGGGGTAATATCAGATTCACTCCAGTGAATAAGGCTAATAAAACACTGAGCGCTGAGAGGAACAACTGCGATGAAAATCAGGGTGTTACACGGGTCTGATTAATACCTGTATAGAACAGGTCTACCTTCGAACTACTCTGTCAGACGACTGATGACGTAACATTATTTCAGACATACTTTCCGAAGTGTAAGCAAAAGCCCTTGCCCATAGTTTCTTTGCGTTAGTAGTTCTGGTGTTATTCAGTGTTTAATCTACTTCGTTGCCGTTAAAATGATCCAAATAGTGTTACATTCCAGAAGAAACGATGTGACGCAATTGGATGAGCAGAATTGCATATGATGAGCATGACTACATTCCCATCAATCAAAATTGTTTTCCCCCACTGGATTCACTCTCATCACACAAGCATTTGATTGATCCTACAGAATGATAGATCTAAAAATTTTGTAATCAGTCAATCGAGTGAATGATATCATTCTGATTATGGATGTAGTCACTTTTTCAGAGGTACGGCAATGTCCAGTATCCACATTCTCCCGATTAACTTACCAATTTGTATGTGCCGTCGGACAGTTACGAGAACCCCGCTCGGAATTCAGCTCCTCGTGAAGCGCTCGATACGCGGAACTGACCAGTATGAAATGATTTGTGGCAAGTGCATTATCCGGATTTTTGTCGGGGTGAAATTTTTTAGCCATACGGTAGTACGCCTTCTTTAAATCCTGCACAGTCACATCTGTTTGAACCTCAAGCACTCGACACAATTCCCGCAAGGATCTCTCACCCGATGCGCTCATAATCCGTTCCGGCGGTGATCGTTTTTCCGTTTGACAAGTCTAGCAGCTGTTTGGATGGCACACTGGTGTTTTCTCACTGTCTGACCCTCACCTTACCAGGTGATCACGAGGTTGGTTAGGTGCTAGTAAATCGGTATTTGATTGGCTAGTTTGTGATGCTTTGTTTCGAAATTGATTAAACCCGTACGTCATGCTACCTTCAGAACAAATTCGGATAGATCTTTGTAAGTCTGTTTTTTTTGTTTCACTAATTGTACAGAACAATCTAACTTACAACCGGCGCCCAACAGAGTTGATCAATTAATTCATGAATAAATTTCAATGAAAAAGAATAAACCAGTCAATAGACTCTTCCCATATATACGTTTTAAGTAACATACAGATGAGGGACACCGATCACGTCCCGAACAAATGATACTGTTATTGATTAATTAACAAACACCATACAGCGGAGTGAATCAAAATAATCGCCGGCGGTTCTGAGTTCGAATCCCGCCACCACCGCTGCCAAACTCCCCCGGGTCGCCTTTATATGGCGGCATTATTGTACATTTCTATAATCAATAAAGAAAATACAAATATTTATTTACATATTTTTATTCCCGCCCATCTAATTATATAAAGTAATTAACATACATTTGTTGGGTGCATCGAGGATCGAAGCGAATAGCCAAAGGCCAGCATGAAATTTGATTAGGTATTTCATGATTGTGAAATTGTTGACGCCTACTCACTCTACACGTGCACAAGGAGTCCATTTAAAAATTACTCATAAATTCCTCGCAAATACATCTCACATTGGCTTCGTGGTTGGAAGCATTCGTATCAGGTCACTGACCCTGGAGGTCAACTGAACTTCCGTAGGCGTCCATACTATCCTCCTAAATATGGTTAATGACATATCTTTTTTGGGGGAAAAGTTCTCGTTGGATCTATCCTTTGGTTGTACCAAATCCCCTCGGCCAAAAACACCCCGCTCAAGCTTGAAAGACGGATAGGTAGAGAGTAGAGAGTGTGGTAACTTGCGGTCAGTGCGCTAACATGTACACGAATCATTCAAACGGTAACTCAACTAAACCCGGTCACAACTCAGCCACCGATCTCCTTCAGTTTGTAGTGTCCCTCTTAAAGACAGATCAGTTCTATCACACATGCCCATGATTGCATCACTCTACTTGGTCGTCGCAAACAGACTTTGAACAGGCCCAGATAGATTGATATCAAAAGGTATATCTGGACAAGTGAACTTATATACAGGACTGTATTTGGTTTATCTTTCAGGGTTTTGAGATTGGTTATCAGAATATAAACCACCATGGCTCGGAGATTTGCGGACAGTCAAAACGTAGTTGCCATGTCGATGAGTGCTACCGCACACCCGTCGGGGCCGGGAGACTCTGTTGATATGGTTGTTACCCCTGCGCAGAACATGGAAACGCTATTCTTTCCTCGGTCACTGAGACCGAAACGCTCAGGAACTTGAACAACCACTCAATCCCATTTGAAGTGATAAGCGACCAGTATTCGGAGGGTACACACGAAAATTGATCGAGTAGCGTAAGGGGATAGATTTGGATCTCTTGGTTGCATTGTGAGAAGGATACCGTTTTTTACTTCTCAATAACGAACCGGTGCCTCCTAAAATCTGCTATACATCTTGAAAGTAATTTCGTTGCTCCAGAGTTACCGACACGACCTTCGANATATAGTGCTTGTATTCTGCTTCCGGCACTTTCAGAAGTGCACTTGATTTCCGTTTCACCGGCACTCTTAACTTGCTCATTATTTTTCTGTACAGTTTGGCAGAATAGTGCTTATCTGTCACGTTCTCAGTAGAGGGAATTCGATTTGTTGCATTGCAAACTGGTGGTTCATATTCGCCAACTGTCTTCACTGTTGCTTTTGAGGCTTCTACTGACTCAGTGGAAAGACGCTCCGCCGTATAAGCGACAGCACATTTCTTCAACCAAAACATGACACT